CAAGGTCTCAGATGACAGCACTTACCTAAAGTTCTCTGAGTCCTGTCTCTATGGTAAGTACATAAAACACGATGGAAACATTGACATTGGGCAAGTAGACCTGTTGTCAAAAGGTGTTAGGGCTTATACTAATCTCTCTTCAGGGGAAAAAAAATCCTCCCTGCATACAAACTTGGCCACTACATTAGTTACTCAGCTGCTTGGCAGCTCCTCATTGGAAATAATAGGAACAGAATACAGACCCTAATAAAGTTGATGAAAATTTGGCAAGTACTTCAGTAAGCCCGTGATTTCACCATAGGAAGAGTGTGGTTCAGAAAAGGAGCTTTGACACATGCCAGGGGTGCTCTTGTCATCACTGGGATGGAGGTTTATGTCTGTGTTTTTATTGATGGTAGGTAGAGAGTGCTTTTTGGCAAGGAGACTAAAGGCATGAATTTACCTTTAATGTAGTTTTGTTGCCGTGATTTCTGCTAATTCTGTCCTTTTCACTAGCTCTGAAGAGGAGAGAAGATGCTGCTCTTCTGGTTGTAGAAGAGCTGTTGGGGACTAAATGACACTGGAACACCTGTAATCTCTTGGAAATAATTCTCTGATTCTGCCCATTGCCTGCTTTTTGGAAAGTATTCTCCACTTGAAAATACATTTGGAATTTTAAAAAAAAGAATTGTTGCATACTTGCAATGGAAGATTCAGAAATGTTCCCATCTGATAGCACTAGTACTACTCCCTAAATACTGCAAAACTGCTGTCAGTTTTCATAAAATCACTTAGCCTTTCTGTGGGGATCAGCTTGGCACTGGCTGCTTCTTTCCTTGTTCCCTCGTCCTACACCAGTCAACACTTCTTTTTATTGTTATGTGGTTATGGCAGAACTTTTTTCCTCCCCCCCCCCCCCTTTTTTTTTAAAAATAAGCTCTGTACTTAAGGAATAATAAGGTACAAGTTGTCATTTGGCTGACAGAAAGGGAGCTTTGTGGATATTTATAATATGCCTAATGGCATTTCAGAGCCCTGAGGAAAAACAACGCAGTTTCCAATCTTCAGCTATGTCGGATGTGGCAGGCAAGCAGTGGTGCTCTTCTCAGTTCAGCAGGGGAGGATACACCAAGAAAGGGATTTTTTTCCAAGCTGTTATTTAACTGATATTAGCATTTGAAGGCGCATAAGGCATGACCTTTAATCCTGTGTGTAGACTAACTGATCTGCTTGCTTGAATGCCTCATTGTAATGATGCAGAATGGAAAGGATTGCATCAGACCAGAGAAAGAAGTCTTCTGTCACCAGAACTTGCATATTTAGGTGTGTGGCTGCATGAGCCCATCCCACATGTAACATCTGCAAACTCAGAGCTTTCAGATACACTTCCCTGATCTCTCCTCCAACTCCTGTCTGAAACTGCATTCATCGGTGAGTTACCTCCCAAAGCACAAGCCTTCCTGTACGAGCTGATAGATAGTAGGCCCAAAGTGAAAAAGGACAGCCCTGACTTTTGGTCTTTCCAGAAGTGTAAGTGGTCCTAGTTACACATGGACTTTTTGCCATTCACCTCCATAGCAATTCAAACAGTGGTGGTAAATTAGTTTCATGGGGCATTAGTGGAAGAGGTCAGTGGGTTTTATTACATTCACGTGAAAAGTTGGAGCCAAGAATGTAAAATGAAAACTGGAGATGAAGAGTACCAGAAAGCAGAACAGGGTTTGTGAAGCGACTGAGTGTGTATGTGATACTGTGGAAAGTCCAAAAGAGTCTTCAGTCTAAGCTGGTAACATACTTCAGAGTAAGTTTTGAAGTTACAGCTGTTGTGAGAGGCTCCAAAGAGGTCAACCATGCAAGAAGGCTAGCTGAGAAATAATTAAATAGGTGGGACAAATGCACCAAAGCTACACTGCGATTTTTGTGGCAGAGAGTTTTCTTGTAACATGTATTCAGCATCCATCTAGTTTGCAAGATGGGCTTTCAGCATCAGCCTTGGGGAGAGGACTGAAGTTATAGGATCTGATACATCAGAAAACCAGCTTGCAACTGCTGCTCTTCGTTGAAGAGAGCACTTGGTCAGCTTGCAGGGGTGGTGGGGCTGTGTCCCGACATGTTCAAAAGGATACCAATACAAACACAAAATATTAATGCTGTGGTGTTCTCTTGTGGTGATTGACAGCTCCAGACACTGAGATGGCATGTTACTGCGCCAGCAGCCTGTGGAAAGCTGTTCTGACATAGCCAACCCACTTGGCAGCAGAGCCATGGCTGGCCCGCAGTGCCTGATGACTCACTTAAGTCCTGGAGTTGTTATTGCAGTGGAAGAAGTTGTTCTGTTCTTTAATTCCTTTGTGCAGCCTATAGATCTGTTGGATGGTACCCTGCCAAGGCTTGTAGTTAGTAGAAATTATAATGCGAAAGTCTTTCGGTGCTGGGCAAGTTGTGACTGTAGATTCTGCATTGGAGCTAATGGTCCAGAAGGGTTTTCTGTTGCCATGAGAAAGTCTATCAGCAGTTCAAAATGTAGTTTACTTGGTTATCACTCAGCGTAGCAGCTGGAGGCACTCTCTTGCTGCTAGCCCACCCACACGAACAGGACGGGGCACACCTTCATCCTTTTTTCCCCTTGGTGATTTACCATGTGCTTTCATTACTCAAGAGACTAGATCCTCAGAGCTCTGGTCTTCACATTTCTGTTGCACGCTCATGCTGGGAGCCCATGGCTTCCTCCTTCTTGCTCATTTTCCCTCTGTTAGCTCGTTGCTCGTAGGTTTGTCTTGCTTAGCTGTGGGTAGGGTTCATGTGCTGCTGTTTGGGAAACCAAGGTCTAAGCAGGAGCAACAGTGGTTTTATTTTGCATCTGGTTAGGTGTTTGGTTGGACACCATGATAAATGTGAGTTGAAGTTGTGCCAAAAATCTACCTGGAGGGTTAATTTCTATAAGATGGACAAATACGTAACTTGTGAGAGAGTCTGTTGGGCTCCAGGAGTTTGCACAAGTGCACTTTTGAATCACAGAGATTATGGTGGTTTCCCTTAATTATGCTTATGCCAGAGTAGAGTTTTGGGCAATTTTTAGACACACAGCGTTGCTTGTCACTCTTGGAAACCAAGCTTTGTTAGGAGAGGTGTGGAGCCTGATTCTGAATCTCAGCTTCTTCCCTGAATTATCTCACCTGAAATTAAGGGAGCAAAGATGCATTTCTTTATTATTCGGAGTAGTAGGAACCATGCGGTCCTCTTCTTTTTCTTGCTTAAAGGTATCAGATTGCCTGTTTCAAGCATTCTGCTGAACAATCACAAAAATCCTAATGCAACGTGAGATTGAACTAGGTACTGAAAGCTATCTTTCAAGTTAATTTTCCAGCTTTAGAAGTTGACACTTTCCTTTCAATGCGGAGGCAAAGGTGCTTATACGCAGGAAAAGAGTGTGAAGATGTTGCGGCTTTTTTAATAATTAGGTGGGATTTGGCATACACAGGGTCTGCAAGGAGTGAAGTCAGTTGGAGGGGTTCATTGCTCAACGTTTAATGCTTGTGTTTGGACTTGCACTGTTCCTTGCGGCTGGAAAGGTGCTGGGTGTTTGAGGATTCGCTGGCCTCTAGTGGTGAAGCTGGGTAGAAGCTACAAGAAGCATCTGTGCTTAGCTCTGTGCAACCACTGGGTTATTAGTATGTGTACTAAAAGGAAGCTAACGTTACAAAACACTTTGGTTTTAAATACTCATTTTGCCTCATGGTCTCCTGAAACAGCTGAAGGAGGTCCTGGACTCCTATGCAGCAAGTGCCTGATGCAGTGTCTATTTTGGACCCCTTAGAGGTAGTTCAGGGACTTCAGGAATCTACAGTGTATATGTTGAGAATGGCTGATTTTTTTGCAGGTGAAGTTGTATAAAACTAGAGTGCAAGGTAAACCCAAAACTTAATGTTATAAAGCAACGAGAACTTACTCTCAAAACTTTAGAAAGAGGTGACTTGAAACTTTTCTAAGTTTGTATAAATTGTGCTACCCATGGCTCTGTTGTGTACATCCCTTTTTCTATTATTCATATAGCATTTCTGTCTCCTATAGAGAGATTTTTGTAAGTTGACTGCACACTTAATTCCCAGGGCAGCCTTCTTTGCACCCAGTCTTCTTGTAGCACTGACAGGGTACCTTGCTGCTCCACAGCTTTCTCTGCTTTTGAGCTTAGCTGCTTGGCAGTGAAGTCTGTCTGCTGCACTTGTTCATGTGCTTTCCTTTCCTAGTCTTGGAGAAAAACTTAGTAGTGAGAGGCACAATGTGATATGTAGCTCAAGCCTGAGAGACTTAAGGGAAATAGATTTTAAAATAAATTTTAAAAGATCAGCACTGGAGCCAAACAAGTTGGATTTTGGTTTGGTTTTGGGTTTTGTTTGGTTGGATGTTTTTTTTGTTTGAGTTTTGGCACTGTAATGGCTGTGGCTAAATGAAAATGCTGGAAGACTCCTATTTGTCACAATTTAATCAAACAGCATCCCTACCAAAAGATGATAGTAAGCCCTTCTCAATTAAATGCCCATCCCTTTGAATTTTCCCTCCCTTCTTCAAGCCTGCCTTCCTTGGTCCACATCTTCCTTCCTATGTCTTTCTATCCTTAGTCTCAAATAATCTAGTTTATTAAGATTTAGGGTACATTCAGGGCCCTACCTGTTTAACCATGTTTTTGAGAAGGCAGTGGAGGGAAGATGAAGTTTGCATGAGAGCTCTTTGTCAAAGAGTGAAATATAATTAAAAAAAAAGACCAAGACATTTATATTCATCTTGGGTATTGCCATTTTTGTAAGTCATGCTATAGATAAATAAGTATTCATGGTGTACCTTATGTAGCGTTCCACTGGGTGCCTCCCAGGATTAGCATTTTGTCTTTTAATATCCTGAAACAGGCCCTGCTAAGTGCAGATTGCAGTTTTGGTTCACATCTAGCTGCAGAACAGCAAAAGCAAAGAAGGTGGTTAATGACACATGCTAATCATTCTGGCGTCACGGTTTTCTCTTTGCAGATGTGAAAGGGCCACCTACACACAGACTGTCCTGCGGCCAGTCTCCCTACACTGAAACGACAACATGGGAGAGGAAATACTGCATCCTGACGGACAGCCAGCTGGTGCTGCTCAACAGGGAGAAAGAGGTGAGAGAAGCTCACGTTGGCCACTCAGGATATACCTTTTGGCCTTTATTGGTAAAACAGGAAGGCAGCTTTTTTCATCTCCCCTTTATTTTGTTCACAAGTTTAGTGAAATGTGTGAAAGGGGGGGAAAAGGGGAGCTAACCTATTCTGCGTATGGATGGCATGGCACACACAGTTATAATCCTGCTGGCCCAGACACCAGTTGCATGGAAGAGGTGACAGCAAACTGTGTGCATCCAAAACTCCCTCTTGGAGTTTCACAGCCTGCATTTAAGTCTGCCACTACATCTTCCTACGTTATTGCTGCTTTTAATGGTAGTTAAAGCCACCACAGCTATGTAAACCTACCTCCTCACGTCAGTGCAGACATAAAGGTAGGGAAAAGTGCAGTAAAGGTGGGGGAAAAGGGGTTTTTTTGTGTCTGTATGGGAGTGCTGGGCAGAGGAGGTGTGTGCAACCTTCACACTACAATCAGCCTTGCTGCAGTCACAAGGTAAATTGTTTGAGACAGAGGTTTGCCCTCTCTTGCTAAATGCAGCAAGGAAGATTGGGTGCCCCTTGGCATGGATACTCAAAGCTATTGCAACCATCTTTGCTTTAATTATAAAATTACTCTCTGTATATATAGCATGTAGTACTTGGCATTGTGCCTTCCCATGAAGGTAACGTCAATATGGTAAAGAATAGGCATGTTTTAGTTGATTGAAACACTGAACAAGTAAATGCTGATAATTCCCTTCTCCTAGACTACACTACGATATGTGTTTTCTTGTGATATTTGATGTCTATAGACTGTCACGAACACATGAGCTTTAGAAGCATTTGATAATGCTCCTGGGTTTGTTTGTTTGTTTAATTATTCTGGTGTAGATTTACCCTGCTTTAAAATAAGTATTTCTGGAGGAGCTCTAAAATAGGAATGTTTTCAAATTACTGAAATAGATTTTATCACATATAAATGCCCATGAATTTGAGTCTAATACCATGGTTTCCTACATTTGGAGAGGACCTGAATTTTTGTGGGTTTTCTTGATTCTTTTGAAGCTTCTGTGTACGGCTGTGTACAGGCTGAGAGTATGAGACCTGTTTCTGATGTAGCACTAAATATTATTCATCTTCAGCTGTGATCAGGTTTATTTACAAGGGCTGAAATATTTCCTTGCATAGGGAGGGTAGGAGGAAATGGTTTAGAGCAGGACTTGAGTTATTAGAAGGGAACAACATCAATGCTAATGCATGGGAGAGGTGATCAAATGCAGGGAAAATGGAAGGCCCATATCATGATGTTTGTTTACTATGTAGTTCTCTTTCTAGTCTGACAGGACTGTCACCTAAGGAATTAAAGTATATACTGAAGAAACTTAAGGACATGTGAGAATTATTCCTAAAACAATACTGTACCAGCACAGCTGGGCTAAAAGGATGCATCTCATTAAAGAAATGTAATTGAAAACAACACTGGTTTATATCACAAGTCATTTTCTGAAGGTGGTAATCATGCACTTATGGGTTCTTAATTTCTCCTACTGCATACAGTTAAAAGCATTTTACTGGGAGTAAGATGAGTCTTTTGCTTAGATCCTGAGGAGTAAATATGGGAAGTCTGATGTATCACTGGTGTATTAAGTCATTACATACTAAGTTTAAATACACTCTTTTTTTCTTTGTCAGAAGCTGGAGAAATTCAGTATCAGGCTATATAGAGCCCGGGGTTTTAAATACAGCAGTAACCCCAAAAAATCGAGCAGCAGAATAAATCTTTGCAGCGTGCTCTCAAAGGAGCCTGCCCACACTATCACAATGAGAAATAACTTGTTTTGGGAAATGCTGCATGTAGATGGGCTGAGCAGACATGCCTTTGGTGCAGGTGTGACTCCACATGCTGATAATGTGATTTGTTTCAGAAGCTAGTAGCTGGAGTCAGATTTGCCATTCTGATTTTCAAGTAATTTGGGACTGCTGTTAAGTGAAAGGAAAAAGGGAACTCCTTGCAGAGTCTGTAGGAAAATAAAAGGTTGTTTTAATCTAGCTTCTGAGTCTGTACACATGGCAGTGTACATAGAATCCCTTGTAGAAACACGAAACATATAAGAGTAGAACAGCCAGTTAACAGAGACACAGAGCTGATGCTCTGGATTTGCACCTTCTTCTATTTTTTTCTGAAATAGAAGTATCCATTGTAGCTTTCATGAGAAAGGGAAGGGGAGGCGACTTGGTTAAATTTTACTTGGCAAGTCATTCAGAGGCGAAAGAGGCTCTATGAGATGTGATCTAGAAGTAAGCGTGAACACAGGCCTAAGGCAGCAATGGGGAGAAATGCTTGGGAAGAGCATAATGATTGAAAAGTATGTAGGAGGGGAGTCAAAAAAAGCCCATGGGTGGGACCACAGGTACAGGGAGCCTAAGCAAAAGACTAGGTGAATGAGGAAGAGGGAGGTTACTTAAAGAAGAAAATTGAAGATTATGTTTAGAGTAAAATTATTGGAAAGCTGATGCTGGAAGAGGTTTTTTATTAACCCAAAATGATGTGATAGGCAACAGGAGCTGAAGATGGAGAGGTTCCTGTTCTGAACATGGAAATTACTGGTAGAGTGGGTAGGTCAGAATTTCTTCGGACTGCTGAAGAGGATCTTAGAAACAATGTGAGGGACAGAATGAATACCCATCAGTAAGGGGGTGGGTGTGGTGGAAGAGGGAAGAGATGTTAACAGCAGAGTGCCCTGGCAGCAGAAAGGGAGCACTCGCATCATCACAAGGCTGGTGTAATTTGAAAACTGAGAGTCTGAAGCATCTCATTTTATTCTTTGTGCATCTGCTTTGTTACTTCATGGAATAAAAATTCAAGAAGCTTAGCCTGTGTGAAATTAAAAGGGAACAGAAATGTTTGATGTTTATAATACTTTGTGAAATCATTATGCAAGTATGTATGTCAAAGCCAAAAAGTAGGAAAACATATACAAAATGCAAACAGGTAAATGAAAGATGTCTTAATTGTTTTGGGTATATTGCTAAGTTTGGTTTCTTTCAGTTAATGCTGTTAAAATAGAGCATTATGAATTGCACAGATTTTTAAGACTGAGGGAACAGTACAGAAATAAACAGAGTAGTAAGAAAACTCTTTTCTTATAACATGCCACCACTATGGATTTATTGTCAAGGCAGTTTGGATAGAGTACGTGCAAGAGAGATTTTGTGCTGTGCAAGCACAAGAGTAAGTTGGAAATCGGAGAAATTTTGAGGTACAACTTGATCCAAAAAGATCTGTAATTACTCAGACAAAAATGGTCTGATGGTATCACCTTGTGCAGTGTAGAAAAATATTAATTACTTGACACCTTGTCAACTTTATAAAATGAAAATAGGTGAGACTGAAGAATGAAGATTATTAATGAAGGGAAGAGATTGGTGCCCAAAAAGTAAGTAGAAAGGAAATGAATCCCTGTAGGGATGTGAGTGATGACTTAGCAAATAAGGAGTCATGAGTGACAGGAGATGTGCAATTACTGCTACATATCATGGTGTAGTAATATCTAGCAGCATCTTCCAAGACTGGGACAACAGGTCTAGATTGATTCACTTACTAATCAGGTATTTTTTCTATGAGGAAAACAGTTTCCCACTGTCAGGAAGGTGTAGGTATTTTCATCGTTTGCGAAACCTGTTCCAGAGGGGTAAGAGCACAGTAAAAGTGTCTGCAAAATCAGTGCCATTTAAACAGGGAAAGGGAATGAGTTAGTGTTTATGAAGAGCGGTTTCAGATAGATAATCCATTGCAGAGCACTTTCATGAGGGATGTGACAAATAGCTGCATCTGGTTTTGGGCTGCTTTTTAGTTAGTCTTTGTCTGTAACTTGGCTGCTGTCCTGCAGAATCTTTTAATTTTGTGTTCAGTTGGAAATGAAGATGAACAAAGCTTTTCACTGTGTTAGACATTTCCTTTTTCCTTCCTGCACCCAAAACCTCATCTTCCTTCTTGGATTTAGAGGTGGTTTTAATCACAGGCAAAGGGTAGTAGAGACCTACATTCACTGTGACAAGATTACTACTTATTGGTGCTGGTGACAGAGGCCAGTAGCAGGACATCTCTGATGTATTTTCCTACTCTTAAATCTCCTGTGACTGACACCAGTAGTGGAGGAACAGTGGTTATCCCAAGAGAAAATAGCAAAAGCAAACACTGCTGCTTTGGGGCCCCAGGGGCGATTCTTCAGTAATGCCCACTGCCATTCCCAAAAGATTTGTCACATTGGTATCTTACAGCAAATATATTTTACCTGTAAATAGGAGTTTGTCAAAGCTGAACCCAGTTGTAAGAAAAGATTTGCTTCAATTCTCAAATGAATTTAATTATTTATTTTCCAAAAGCCCAAAGAAATGTTAGTTGTCAACATGTTTAAAGTGGATTTCTATGTCAGAATTTTAGCCAGCTTATAACTTTCTGAAGAAAGGTAAAAATTAAAATGAATTATTTAACTATTTTGTTGACATGATTCCAAACTTTCTGACTATTAGTTCAGAAGAGATTGCAAGTTCTCAAGTTTTTCTCCTGAATCAGTCTTTCTAATCTTGAAAAATCTATCTGCAATGAAGAAACCTTTTTTCCTGTCTCTTTTTTTTAAAAGAGCCTAGCTCAGTTTGACTTTAAGAGGCATTAAATGCTTGTAAAGTTCTTACTCCTATTTCTTCTGAAATCTCTTCATTATCAAACTACTAGAAATCCCAAATATAGGCTTTTTATACTTAAAAAGCATGTTCAGTGGCAGGTGAGCTGTGATGCTTTTCAAGATTTTAGAGTCCGAGCTCTGAACCCATCCTTGTTAAATTGTGAAATTTGCCAGTGAAGGGTGGAATATGATCAAAATTGTCGAGGTTGCCAAAATTATCAGGATTTGGACTGTCCCTACGTACCTTTTTGTCCCAGAGTTACACTGCTTGGAGTCCAGCCCTGAACCAGCAGCTTCAACACATCAGCTGAGGGTCAGACAATTCCCAGGTTGGTGAAGTCTCAGCAGGGCAAAGAACAGGATAACAAAGCTGGACGGAAAAAAAAAAGAGCTGAAAGCCTAAATTGCCATTAGAGTCCTGACTCTGCAAGACTTTGTCATTCTCTTCGATCCTTTGCTGAACTGCTTGCTGCAGTGGCAGGGGCTGGAGGAGGGTTGGGAAGATTGCTGATGTCTGGCTTGATGTTTATGTTGTATTTAGTTGTGTGCCTGCTTGTGTTCCGGTGCCACCCAATCTGTGAATCCATTTGAGCTACCACAGAGCAGCTTATATACCTTTCTAAAAACATGTCCAGCCCCAAGAGATGCAGAGCTGATGACCAAGCTCATTTTGCATGTTCATGAAGCTGTATTTTTTAAGAGCAGGCTGATCTTATGCTAAGCAATAAATACTGGTCCTGCAGTCCTGGATTTAGTACTTTTTTGTCAGTATAGACTGAGACTATGGTTTTGGAGGATTGTTACTTAAAATAACACAGCACTTTTAAGTCAGAATTAAGGGGGGATCTTTTTTAGCTACTGTGCTACTTTAATCTTGTCCATGAAATTGTGGGATGTTTGTATATTCTCTGGTGTAGATCAAGCTATGTAGCATTAAAATGTTGTTCCTTACACAGTTTATGGAATTATTGAGTGAAACAAACAGTATAATTTTTTTCTCAAGCCACTATAAATACTCTAACAAAAGCAGGTTTTTTGCTGGTGTGGACTGTACTGCACTAGAAGAACATAGCTACACCAATGAACCTTTTTTTAGTGTGCAGTCTAACTGTGTTTTCCTAGTCTGGACAAATGTTAAGTACAAAAGGCTAAGTGACCCAGAATTAGGACCTGAGCTCTCAGACAGTCTTCCTGTTAATGGCTCAGTTCCTCTTTGAAGATAAATCCTATCTCTGGTATGCAGAAGTAGATTTGTTTTTGACACCAACTCCGGTGTGCTGCAGCTTGTTTGCTTTTCCCAAGGACACAAAGGACAGCCTGGCCTCAATCATCATTCTCCTCCTCACCCTCAGCAGCAAGTCAGTACATCCATAGCATCCTCTTGGCTATCGTCACTGTCGTTATATACACTGTTATCAGGGTGGTAGTACTGCTTTTTTTCGCGTCAGTAGATTAAAAGAATGTTTCTGTCATCCCATGTCTGAAAGCACACACAGATACTGAAGAGGTATAATTGAAAGAAAAGGGACTATATTAATTTCTCAGTTAAAAAATCTAATAGTGGAGAAGTCTACCCTGCAGGAGCTGTATTGGTATAGAGCTAGCAGTTAGGTGTAGATACAAGAAGTTCACTGAGAAAGGAGAATCACAGGGTCGTAGCTTGATGCTTTTAAGGTGTGCTGAAGCAGGTGTGTCGTGTGACTGGTAATAGCTGTTCTGGAAATACAGCTTGCAGCATCCTACCAAAAAATGCTCTGGAGTAAATCAGGAGAGGCAGAAGAGGCAGTGGAGCAGAAGAACCTTTAGCAGGGAATAAGACTAAATAGAGCCTCCAGATGAAAACTGAAAATCTGTGAACTTGATTGAATGAATGTGGCATAAACTAACAAAATTAATCTCTGCTTAACTTCCTAATGTGTTCTTGCATGGAGATCATTTGGCAAAGGAGCTGCTGTAAAAATCTACCAGAAAAGAAAGTAGCCTTAACAGAATAACCACGAGGGATTTGGGATACTTGTTTTGAAAAATGAGCACTGTTTGAAGGAGACAAATAGACTAGCATAGTAACAAATAGCATTAAAAGAAATGACCTTAAGAGAATGCTAAGTGCTTAAAAGTCAGGAAATGCCAGAACTAGTTTGTGAGAGCCATTGTAGCGCAGCCTGTTTCTAAAATAGTACGGTATCTTGTACATCTTTTACAACCTTCAGTACAAATGAATAATATCTTTTTGTTTGCTATTAATACTTGGTTTTCAGAGATGATTGAAGATGCAAAGGGATAAGCAGCACAGGAAATATAACAGGGGCTTGTATTCCTTTAGCTGCAAGCTGTCTTTTACATAGCTATATGAAAATAATTGCCATATTGCATGTATCGGAGTCGTACTGTTGAAGCCAATGTCCTCTTCAAAAGTGCACTGAGATGTTTTCGGCACTGAGGGGTTGTGCCTGCCTCCAGCCCCTTGATGCTCTCTCTCTCTCTCCCTCATCCCTGGGGTTTCTTCCAACTGTTGAATATAAGGGCTTAAGGTGGCCCCACAAAGTTACAGCTTCCAGGTATGGTAACAGACACCAGACCAACAGCTTTAGGGATAAACAATTTATCTCTAAATAATGTTGTGGTAACAAATACAGATCAGGAGTACGATTATCTGGGTGGCTAACAACAAGAAATGCAGTAACTCAGTAGCACAATTATCCAGGTTGAAATGACAGCAAATCCAGTAATTCACCAACACGGAGCTAAACTTAATATCTGAGCATGTAAAAACCTGCAAAACTGTAGTCATAACCATGATTATCAGGCAGGCCAGCAGGACACAGGGCATGGCTTCCTCAGACAAGCGACTCAGACCAGCCAGCAGGCTCAGGGAATTCCTAGCTCCCCAGTTGGAGTGTCCTCTAGTTGAGACACGGAACCACTATCTGGACTTGTTAATCAACCGTCACATCTGCTCTCTGGCCCCCTTCTGTGCCAGTTCTTTGGGGTGCATGGGCCCCAGAAATACTGTATAAGGCAGTACTGGCCCCAGGTGCCCACCCATTGTTAGTGACTCAGTCAAGGAAACAGTGGTTACCATGGGGCCAAAAGCCTGTGTAGCTTGGTTCTGGAGACATGTTTTTCCCATTCAGTCTCCATCTTTGGTGACCAGCCTTTCACCAGCTTGAAGGATCTCTGCTGTCTTTTGAACCTCTTCAGATCAATGTGTATGTTCTTCAGAAGGGTAGAATGAAGGATGTCTTCCTCATACTGGAATCAATGTCTTCCTGTTGGAAGGATGTTTTCTGCAGTCTGTGGTAATCTGGATTGCACCTCTGGCGAGCAGGTAGCTGTCTGAAGGTTTTGTCTGTCTGCCCTTCTGTATGCAAAGTAACTGATGCTTGAATTAACCCATGCTGATCATGTAAACAAAATGAGGATGCACAAAGGTGTCTGTATAAATTAATGAAGTAGTTGGGTACTCTTCCTTATCCTCCAGATCCCTTTGTACATTTGGGGGGATTGGATTAGGAGTACATCAGGCTTGTTTCTTGTTCCCAGACATATGTGCTGTGGGGCAAAGAGACTGTATTGCTTAGGCTCTTTTAGAGCTCTTGGCTGTTGTCTAAATGCCCTGCAGCTGTAGTGATAGGTAGCATAACTTACCACTTTTTTTTCCAGCATAAGGCCCTCTCTAGAAAAATGCAGTTGTCCAGCCAGGTGTTTAAAGGCAAGGTTGGGGGGGAGCAAACACTGAGGGGTCAAGTTCTGCCAATATTTCAGAAGAAAAACAAGATCTTTATACATTCAGTACTTTTAAAGAGAATTAGCATACAGAATTTTATTACTATGAAATAGTGAAGACCCCAAGCCTTTCTTAGAGCCTTCTGAGGTCCCACTTGTGGGATGAGTTTGACTTAATGATAGAAGATATCCCCTTTCTCCATGTGCCCAATATGACCAGCAGAAAGTCCATTTTTCTCTGACATGCTGTAGCTGATCACTGAATGTGTGCTGAGACTGCAGAAATGCTTTTGTAATCTCAAAGTTTCGCATGTAGCCATCTGACCAGCAGCTTCTGCCTGACTTTCCCAGCATGGAAGTGGAGAAGGCTGTCTAGCAATGGGTCCGGCACTGGAGAAGCAGTTTCAAAAGGCAGGACTGCCTCGTTAGTCAGATGGGTCAGCTGTGTTGTGACTTGATACCTCTGGAGCGCAGGCTGCTGCACACCTGCATGCAGCCCTCTCTGGGCTGCATGTGCACTAACGCTCCTCACCGCTGCAGTGCTTGCCCGCAGAGCCTCAGGAATTGTGTGGTAAGGGCAGGCATTTGGAACTGCATCTGAAAGTTATTACCAGATGAGTAGATAATGGAGTCCTTATCAAGAGGCATATTAACAGCATATCCCGGTGGCACATTAACAGCTGTCAGCATTCTTTTTATGCAGGTGCCTATCGATGGGGTCCAGGAGCCGCAGGTGGATGCTACCAAAGGGCGCTGCCTGCGCCGGACGGTGAGCGTCCCCTCCGAGGGCCAATTCCCCGAGTACCCGCCAGAGGGGGCCGCCAAACTAGGTAAGTGGAAACCTTGGCCACAATAAATTGATTTTAATTTATAGCTGCAAGCTGTTATCCAAGGGCACTGCTTCCTGAGCAGCATCCTTGCAAAGGAGCCTGCTGAGGTGGGTAGCGTCATAGGTGGTGGTGGAGGTCGTGTGACCGTGGAGTTGTTTGTAAATGCCTCCAGCAAAATGACTTGTAAACACTAGGATTTATCCAAGCCTCAGTGAGGTTATTATGGGGTACCAGAGAAGCTGGGCTGTTGCTGCACATGGGAAGGTTTGTAGCCGTGTTTCGAAGATTACTAGGCAGCCCTGGGTTTTACAACTGAGAGCTGCTGAACGCAGGTCAGTATGAATGCAGCTTTTGCAGATAGCTGTAAGTGGTTCCTGCTGTTTTTTAGAACTGTTAGGTGGTTATGTTTTACCTCACTTTGAGTTGCTCTGGAATTTCCTTTGCTTCATATTTTCATAACAACTATTGGATAACAAGTTTTTCTGTAACTTACCTCATGCCTGTTCAGGGTGCAGTTCCTAAAAGAACCAGCCAACTGCCTGCTGCTGTTGGCTATAATTATACATGTTGAAATCTAGGGAAAGCAAAAGAAAGGGCAGGTATTAAAAATGACAGACAAAAGCTCTGTTGCAGTAGTTTCCCAAGTCCAGATTTGGCCCAGTTCCCCCTCTTTATTCCACCCCACCTGTGGTTACATAAAGAGCATCATTCCAACTCTTTCCAGAAGAAAGAGCAACCACGCACAAGTGAACTCTTCTTTCTATTCCGAACCTATGCAAGAAGCTTTCCTTGGCATAGGCTGATAGGATCTAGGAGCAATTCTTTCTTAGTTCAGCTGTGAAAAATACCAGTCCTGGGAGAGAGTGAGCTATGAGGAAAAAAGTAACATGCATCTCTAAAAGGTAAAGCAGCCTTGATAACATTGTTATCAAAGGTGGAGAGCAGGTAAGGTATTTTTCATTTCACAGGCTCAGCTGGTTTGTATGCCAAATAATTTTATTCTGTAAGTATATTGCACAAAAGTCAGTAAAATCCCACTCTTCTAGATAGTTAACTAACACATTGCAAATATAGTACTTATTTATTTGTACTTGCCAATAGCACTATTTAACTCTTCCATATTTGAGGAAATCAGATAGGGTTCTTGTTTTGGATTTGTTTGATTCCTGGATTAGAAGTCTGAAAAGAAGCAGGGCAGGTTGGGGATTTAGGAGGGAAAGCTGCAAAATACTTGGGGATGAGTGACATAAACAGAACCCCTATTGGATTTGTTTGTGGCATTTCAAATGCAGCTCTAAATGATAATCTTGTTTTGCCGTATGAACAAATATTCATTCTTGTTCGGAACTAAACCCAGTATTAAACATGTTTACAAAGTATTATAGGCAAAGTACTTCTCCAGATGTGTGGCTAGTGGGATGAATGAAGAATCGTATTTGCAACCAGTCTGCACTAGGCAATGAATATTATTTGCAGCTTTGCAAGCTAGAAAGACCTTTAAAATCTAGGATTTAAATGCCTTCTTTTTCTATACCATGTGCAAAGAATGTGTAGAAAAGTACATAGAAGAATTTCTAGACTTCACTGAGCATCTGAATAGCTGGAAATCCCAGTGTTACGTTTTTAAATGTAACCTTGTAACCTTCTTCATTTTTCTTGAATTGCTATTCTGTGCTATTTGGGTATATGCCTTACTATGTATTTTGCTACAATTTTAGATGCATGTGGCATCTTGTAGCGTGCTATTTGATGTATGCCTGACAAGAACATATTAAAAGTACAAGAGAAACTCATATCCACATGTCTTCTCCATATGAGAGCTGCAACTGTAGTGAATATAGATGTCACAAAGTGTGTAGCTAAAGGAAGTGGGCATACAGTGGGAGGGGAAGAAGACAGACATGAGCTGGAGAAAAACTGAGCAATGCCCATACTGTGAGGAAGGATGAGAGTAAGTGGGAGGGAAGGTTATATATAATCTTTTGATTGTAGCTCTGTTGGTAGTTCCCTTGTTTTCACATCCTGATTAGAAACATCTCTTATCATGACTACAGAATGCCTGCTAATGGAAAAAAGTGGGTTGACAGCAAGCAGTAGGAATAACTTTGTGTCAAGATGTTGAGCCAGAGGACAAACCAGTGAAGGAAACCATTGAACATCTTTATAAAGAGAAAGAAACGGATGGTGGCAGCCAGAATGTATCACCAGCAGTACAGATAACAACTGGACTAAAATAGCTTTGGAATGGACACCAAAAGCTGAAAAGCACAGCAGAGGCAGCTAAAATATCTTGTAGAGAAGTTGCTATGTAGAGCTGATAAGAATATCTAGCTTGTCCTAGGGAAGCATGTGCATAACATGGCAACAGTAGGCGTTGCATCTTATGATGATATCTGAAATAACTACTTGCAGAAGAGCTCCTTAGGGCTGCCTCTAGTGCAGAGGTTAAGGCATAGCAATGGCATTTGGTTTTTTCCCTAAGTAAGGTTGCCATACCTTTCTTGTTATTTATTGATTGATTGATTGATTTTGAAAAAAAGGAAAATCAGGTGATGGAACTCTTTTTCATCTGTAGCACTGCAGTTACACCTTGTATGAAATCTCAAGAGTATTGTATGAGGTCAGTCTTTTTGTTAATGGAGCAACTGGAATGGTGTGTTCTTCAGGGGATCAGCATAATCAGCAGAAGTACCCATTCTGCAAATTTTTGTGGCATTCTTTATAGCATTGTGCACACATCCTTTTAGCACCATTCCTAGGAAGTGTGGGGGAGAGAAACTACCCACGTTACAGCTGAGAAGTTGAAGCAAGAGATGTGTAACTCGCCAGAGGTCAACATTAAGTCGAGTGTGCTTTACCCGAGGGCTGTTGTAGTCATTCTTGTCGTCTCTTTCATTTTTACCCTTGCTGCAGGGTTGGCTCAGCTGTTCGTGAGGCAGCTGCTGAACCACCATGGTTTACAGTCCCGTGTACTAAGATAGACACCAATTTCCACATACTTCAGTACAGTAAGCTGTAATTTGTGATGGTTCAGCAGCTGCTAGAAGAGCAGCTGAGCCATCCTTTCTATGCAGGCAGAAACCACTGTGGTCACCCTCGAATGAGAGCCGGAGGGGTGGACACAAAGATAAAACACAAGATAGAAAGTGACTTGTTTAAACAGCGAAAACTAATAAGATCATTTAAAAACTGTAACACCAGAGGACACTCACCATCTACTGCTAGCTTAGGAGCTTGCCCTCTGCTTCCAGACAGTGGAGAGGTTGTTTCTAATGTTGGAATTCTTAATTCCTATCTGGAAGGTACACCGTACAGAGTTGTGTCAGCAAGCCATCCGTTAAATATATGCCATGAAATTTCCTTGGTACGTAATCTGTATCATTGTAGTAATTCTTCTGTGTGAGTGAATAGGCACACTCTAAATATGTCATTTTCTTGCTAGGATTTCATCTCGGCAGCACTTACCCAGAGGTGCTTCCATTCAAGGAAGCTAAAAATGTAGCTGTGGTGTCTCCCTAACTCCAGCTTGACAGCCTCTTTCCTTCTTCTTTCAAGCATTACTTTCAATGGGCTAATTCTGTTATGAAGTGTGATATAGGCCCTGGAAACCAGCACCTAAATGTTATAGGAAGAAGTAAGATAAAGAAATCTCAAGCTGATGCATCTCTGGATTGCCTCCATTTCTGCTTCAGATCCTGCTCTTTTTCTAACAGGTGTATTTTTTGCTGTTAGGGAGATTATATCCTTTGTAAAGGATCATTGTTTATAATAGCATATTGGAATTAACCATTCATACAGTAAAAGCATGATTCAGATTTCCACCATTCATACTGTTTGACAGACTAGTAACAGTTATTGCTTCCTTTCCCAAAATAATCCTTTTCTCTCTTACTCTGCTTCCTTCTGACCACCTGCTCACACTAAATGAAAGTTGTTAAGGAGAATACATAGCAAAAGTTTTGATTCTGGCATCTGGGTGCATCTTTGTGGCATTAATAAAGGATTTTTTGCCTGCATGTGTGAAAATATCAGGAGGGATTGAAAGTGAGGAAATGGTTTGGGCTTTGTTTTTTTAATTTATTTTTAAATTATTAGAAAAGAGCATCATCAGGGAGAGAGTTTTTCAAGATTCTCTGATGCTTAGGCTAGTGTTGATGCAAATTGATTTTCTTTTTATATTTGGAGATAAAGTCATCTGAGAAGAAAATGAAGACTGTTTCACTTGTTGAAACAAGTTAACCCTGCTTTTTCTCAGTCACATCTATGACTACTGAATATGAAGGCTCTTGAGAAAAGGTTGCTGAAAGCAGGTCAGAGGTGAAGATGCTCTTTGCAAATTTTCATTTTGTCCTCACCTTGAGTCACTAGCATTGAGAAATTTTGTTTTGTGTCCAGTCACTTGGACTAATCAATGGGGAAACATAGTTTGTACCCTCTACCCACGCTAAACGCTATGGTGCTTGCTGGTTGTAGCCTTTACTGATCTAATTGTTTTAAACAATATTAACACAGCATGTAGAAGAGGACCTCTGGTGGAATGGTTCTATGATACAAGCAAGCAGCCAAAGGTGAGAGGAGAGGAGGCCAGGACTCCTTAAACTACCTTTGTTGCTGACAAAAGTGTCTGGAACCACACAAGTAAAGCAGCCTTTTTTTTTTTCTGAAAATATACTCCAGTTTCTTGGCTGGAGAGAGAATAGCCACCAAGATCAAGGACAATGTGCGTAAGCAAGCCTTACACCTTTTAGGAGCTTCTACACAGTCAGCTCTGCCTATACAATGTGTACTCATGTCAATGTCTATTCACGCTTGCATAGCTCTCTAGCTCATCTTCCAAGCTTCTGTGCTGGTGTAATCTTCACTTCATCAGAGAACCAACTGGCCTTTAGTGCCTTAGCTCTCTCTGTAGAGCACTAATAGCTGTTTCTCAGCTGCTGACTCCCCTCCCAGCTCTGCAGCTCTTCTCCCCGTCCCTTGGTACAATTCCATCCATGCAACCT